TTCAGTTCTGTCTGTGTCCCCACACTCAATTTCCCAAAAATCCTTGGCACACCCCATCTTGCTGTTTTTCTGGGCCTCTTTCCGCACGTCTAACACTCCGAACGGAAAACAGCACAGGGCGTGAGGTTGGTATGGGAGCCGACACGTGTCGGTTCTGATGATAGTAAGTTGAAGTGGCGAGAGGTAGGAAAGGCCCTCAACTAGCTCATCGGGATCGCCCAGTGACCAGGTCTCAGTCTAGTGAGGCTGCACCCGCAGTACCAATGGTGGACGGTAGTAGGGTGATCGTTAGCATCCCTGCCCTCTTCCGCTTCTTCCCTAACCATACCCATCCCGAGGCTTGGCTAGAAGCTGTCGAAGCTCAAAACTACAGTGCAGCCGATCTTCCCCGTGTTCTGACATTGTTACTCCGCAACACATCGCATGACTGGTTTATGAAACATACATGGGTAGATTGGGCTACTTTCAAGCAAGCCTTTTTGGCTCGATTCGATACGGTCAGTGAAGATGTCGCCTGGTACGTGCTCAAAAATCGGCCACAAGGACCAAGGGAATTGTTGCCCGATTTCGTCGATCGATTTCAAACCACGCTGGACAAATCTGAGCGAGACGAAAATCCGCTCGAGATTTGTTCATCGATCATCTACAAAGTCCGACATTGAAGGGCAAACTGCAGAAAAAGGTCCCACCGAAAACACACCAGTTATCGGCTATCATCACTAAAGCATTAGAACTTGGACCTGGCTGATACAAAAAAATATATCAGTCAGGGAGACGAAGACATTACAGATACCATACGGGATGTAACGGCCAAAAGACGATCATGGTTGCACGCGGTCGACCGGTTTTATCCCCGCCCCGACCATGACCTTCCCGGCGGGATCGTTTCTGATATCCCGCCTGCTTTTTCTTCCTCTCCCCCGGTGAATCAATCGATCAAAGTTGTTAAAAGCGGAATCTCACCCGAACCCCCCTCGCCGGCCATAACTAACTTACACCTTGCCCAGATGATCCATACGGCCACTACCAAGCAGTCCGAATGGATGAGCAATGTGATCCAAATGCAGGTCGCTCACATGGAACGGATGGAACAGATAATGAGTAGGCTAATCAAGCCTAACCCGGCCCCTGCTCGGCCGGCCCCCGCATCATTTCCGCTCTTACCTACCCCACCTGCTCCAGGGTACGCACCTTAGTTCCCTCACCTAGCCAATCCAGCCGGAAAGATCGAGTAATTTAACTGCAAACAGCCCGGACATTTCGCCCGAGATTGCCCGCAGCCAAAGCGTAATCAGCCCCCACCTGCGGCGGCCCCCATGGCCCTGAATCAAGGACGAGTGGCCGCTTTGATGGATACGGACCAAGGAGGAGAACTCGTGGCATATGCCCCAGAGCAGCCTTCCCCTTCGATGGCAACGGCGTCGACCTCGAAAGCTTCTTCCTCTGACGCTGCTGACGTGGTCGATCCTCTCGAGTATCTTCATCTCGCAGGCATGATCGGAGCAATCCGATCGGCCCCTGATGATCTCGAATGGGTCGATCGCGAATCCAATCCTGGACCGCCGTTTCAGACAGGAGACACTGGCGTATTGAAAACGCTCAAGCAACTAGATATTCGTGTTCCTATCCCAGTAGGACATCTGGTCACCATATCTGAAGCGGCGAACGATAAACTTTTACAATATTGCCAGAAGAATCAAAAACGCTTTACCTATCAGCGCATACAACGGATGTTAAAGAAGAAGGGAGGAAGCGAGGAAGTTGCATCCCCCGAGCCTGACACAAAAGAACCCGAACCTGAAGCCACATGTATAGCAGCGATCTCTTTAGCAGAAAAAAATCACTTTGTACGAGCTCGGTCAGTACTATGAAAAAGTGCGGAATGTGACTGTGAAGTTTGGGGCAAGTCGTTTAATGCCCTTATCGATACGGGGTCTTCTGCAGTGGCCATATCGTTAGATATTGTCAAAAAGACGGGACGACTTGGATCCATTCTTCCTCAATCTGGCAAAGACAACTAGGAAGCAATGAACATCGTAGGCATTATCGAAAACGTGGCTATAAAAGTTGGGCGAGTACACGTCCTTGTTAACGCGCTCGTAATAGATGTACGTTCTTATTCTGTGTTGTTGGGATTACCTTGGGCGATGGCGGTAGGCGCACGTCTGCATTTCGATTCGAAACAACTGGTGCTCACGCAAACTGGGGGAAAGCCTCAAACCGTTCCTTTGCGAGTTTTCACCCGAACGATAAAACGGGTCCCTAACTTGGCCCAACTCGGGATGATTCGATACATTGATCCCGAGGATTGCTCTCCCTCGAGCATCAGTAATGGAATCAGGGAACAAGGATATAAAGAAGAAATGCCCAGTGAAGAGGAATGAAAGCACCTGGTCGAACTTTTCAAACGAGAAATTCCCGAAGAATTTCAAGTGTGCCCCGACACCACCCGAAGCTTCCACGTGGATGTCGAAGACAGCACGTGCACGCCTCTGACAACTCAGGTCAGTCCTTCAGTCCTCCTCGGGGAACCCATATTACAAGTATCCGACCTGGCTGATGATTTGGAACCCCCTCGCACCCTATACGAAGGAGCTCTCTCCTTACGATCGCGCTACCAGCAAACAGAACGGTATTTGGATGTTTTTGTTTTTCCGCCCAGATCGTTGCTAACGACAGGAGTCACCATCGCCTTGATTAAACAGGAGGCGGAAGCACCGATAAGTGATGTATATGACCTACTGCAAGAAATGACCGACCTAACGGGGCTAACTGTGGAACCAACCTCGGTCGGTTTAGAGACTAATGCTGAGGCCAAAGAAACGGAGATGATCAGCCCCGCTGAGTCCCAGATGATAGCAACTGTCTTCTCTGTTCGCACCAGTAGTTCCGTTTTCTCTAGTGTCCATGACCGGCGGGAATGGCCGGTTGATTGGGTTAATATGCCCCTTAAGATTTCCGGGGAATCGACAATCACCCTGCCAGGTCATGTTCCCGTCGAACTTCGGAAATCGTTAATTCGTGTGTTAAATGGCTACGCAGAAGTATTGAGCATCCACGATAACGACATCGGCTTAACTAATGTGATCGAGCATGCCATTGTCACGGGAGATCATCCGCCCATTAGCTGTGCTCCCTACCGATACTCGCCAGCTCAAAGAGCGGCCGGAGTTCGAAGCTAATGGATGGATCGAACCCGCTATAGGTCCATGGTCTTTTCCTGTAGTGATCGTACATAAAAAGGTCGGAGGGATTCGCATTTGTATTGATTATCGGAAATTGAATGATATCACGATTAAAGATGTGTACCCTCTCCCCCGGATTGATGAATTGTTGGATGCGATTGGGAGTGCTCGATATTTCAGCAAGTTTGATGTCCGCCATGGGTTCCATTATCTTCTTGAAGATCGTCCGAAAACGGCGTTTGTACTTTTCGAGGGTACGTGGCAGTGGATTCGATGTCCGATGGGTATCTGCAACGCCCCCGCGACCTTCCAACGAGCCATGAACATGGCTTTTCAGAATTTTGTATGGAAGACTCGTTTGGCACAGAGCATCATCAACTACTGCGTGATCGTGTACATGGATGACATCTTGGTGTACTCAAGTTCCTACAAGGGACACGTGCAATACATCGAATGGGCACTACATGCGTTACGAGATGCGGGCTTCAAGGTGGCGCTTGAGAAGTGTCAATTTTTCCTCACCACCATTTCCTTCCTAGGGCACGTGGTGACAGACAAGGGACTCCACCGGAGCCGCAGAAGGTGGCAGCTGTCAGGGACGCGCCGGTGCCTACGACTATCACGCAAGTTCGCGCCTTTCTGGGCCTAGCCTCGTACTGCCGAAGATTTATCAAGGGCTTCGCGGCGACTGCGGGACCCTTCACAAATCTGTTGCCCAAGGATCAACCGTTGATCTGGACGCCAGAATGCGATCAAACGTTTTCCACACTCAAGGCCGCTCTCATTTTGGCTCCAGTCCTTATAAGACCGGATCCCGAAAAACCTTTTGTTCTCATCACTGACTGGCAGCCAGAGGCAATTTCGGCGATCCTTGCCCAGGTGGGACCAAGCGGACTCGAGAGTGTGGTGGAGTATGCGTCCAAATCAGTGCCCGCCTGCAAGCGCAACTMCGCCGCTCCAACGGGTGAATGTTATGCGGCTCTCTGGGGAATCAGTCACTTTCGTGCTTACCTGTATGGGCGAAAATTCACCCTGGTGACTGATCATAAGCCCCTGTTGGCTCTGAAGAAGTCAAAGGATTACTCGGGCATGATCGGGCAATGGGCAACGGTGCTGCAGAGCATGGACTTTGACATTCGTCATCGGAAGCACGAGAGACACGGGAATGCAGACGGACTGACACGGCTGCACCGGCTTGAGAAAGTTTCGAAGAATGAGGAGGTGATTCCGTGGAACGAACCTGAACAAGAGGTTAGACCCCGGTACGTCCAAGTGGAGATTTTGTCAAAGCAGTAAGTGGCACGAGGACTAATTTGTCTGTTCTACTCCTTCCACAAGTCAGTCCCATCTCTCCTCCTCTGTCATCATGACTACCCCGCCTGCCTCCGCAACCCCGTCTTCTCCTACTAATTCTGCCCCTCTCACTTCCTCGGCTTTCTTCGCCACCCTCCCCGATAAATTCTGTTATTTTTGCACGTGTATTGCATGGGTTTATGGGGTCGACTGTCATGCCTTCGAGACCAGATTTGTCGATTGGGTAGAATGTGCCACGTGTGTCAACCGTGCGCACGGGGCCTGCGTTCGATATCGGACGAGTAGCAAGGAATGGAGGTGCCCCCTGTGTAGAACGAACAAGCTCCCCACGGAGGTTCGATTCGAGGCCGCCTGTACGGACGGTCCTGAATACGACGAAAAATACCGACGAGCGGAGGTTTGGACGGATAAAATTTTATTAGCGAAATTAGCGGGATTATCGTTGGGCCACCTCACCAAACACGACAGACGTAGGGCAACCGAGAGATCTCGGGACTATCGATGGATCAACGGTCATTTGGAAAAGCGTAAAACTGACGGGTCGGGTTCGTGGTTGACGGTTCCCCATCCATTCCAGAGATACGATTGGATCCGATCTGCTCACGAAGAACAAGCCGCTCATTTCGCGATACGTGTCACGGAGGCAACTATAGACCAGAACCGATGGTTCTGGTCCAATATACGAGATGACGTCAAGTACATTGTCGCTAATTGTCTGGTCTGTGCCGCTGATCGCGCCCCTATACAGGGACCAAACACGATCGTACCAACGGAAGTAGAGCGTCCTTTCCAGTGAGTCAGTATGGACACGACAGATATTGACGTGCCGCCTGGCCCAAACCGCTGTAAACATTCTATCCTGTTAGTTTTAATTGACCATTTTTCCAAATACATCGAAGTTTATCCCTGTAAGACCCGAAAGGTCGCAGAAATAGCCACGTACATCGAACGATTCCTCTATACCCATCTAGATACAGAAGAAATTCTAACCGACAATGGGTCGAAATTCAAAGGTGAGGTAGAAGAACTGCTTGCGCGAAGGGGCGTCACGCTCCGACATACGGCACCCCACGTGTCCCAATCGAACGAGTTGGCCGAGAATGCCAACCGTATGATTAAAACCGCCCTTCGCAGGAACTTAGTGGCACACGACACGCGTCCTTGGCCCAAGATCGTATATCAGATCGTCGGAATCCATCGGGCCACCCCTCACGAGTCTACAGGGTTTACCCCCTTTCAGCTTCGAACTAATAGCCTCCCCTGTGTCGATTACCGGGGTAACTCGGAAATTGTTGAAGCAGGGGGTAGAGACACACGTGCAGCTCTCAAGGCCAAGGCCAAAAGGTACACCGAGTTAATGGAACGGGCCGTCCCGAAGCTAGCCCGAAAAAGGCAAAGCATGACCGAACTGGCCCACGGTAGACAGGTCCGTAGCTACGAGGTCCGGAATGGAAATGCTGGGCCCCAGTACCAATATAAATTAGGGGACCTAGTGCAGGTACGTAAATGTGCACGCGACCGGAAACTCGCTCCCAAGTTCTCTGGTTGTTTTCGCGTTGTCGAACTCGGACCCAACGGCGCCAACGCGGTGCGCATCGCGCCTGAGGCTAGTGCCAGCCATAGCTCTGTCCCCATCGTTCGGCATACCTCCTACCTTCGTCTCCTTCCTCCTTCCGATCTTCCTCCCTCTTCTTCCTCGGAAAGCGAGGAGAACGACAACGATCTAACTCTCTCTCCTCTTTCTCCCTCTTGTCCTTCGTCATCCTCCCCCAACTCGCCATGAGTTTTATCACGGAGTGGGTTCTTGACGCACAGTTGTTGCAGCCATGTGGCCACATCTCAAAGATTCGGCAAGTTTGTCACCCTTGGCTCAATGCGGATCTTCGGCGTCTGATGCGATTCTTCTGCGACGAAGGTATCTGTGCTGCCGCCGCGTTTCGAATCGAAGGAAGTCCTCACGCAGTGGTATTCGCGGAGGTAACCGCAGTTCATCGGCGAGTGGGTCCCAGAACGAGCCACGTCACCACGGTGGCGGCATTCATCGGCGACATCAGCTCGGTCAATCCGTTGTGGCATACCGCGATCTTGACCTCGCTGCGCGAGTGGACGGAACAAGTGTCCAACGTGTGGCAGCACGTCCTCGCCTGACAGGGGTATAACCTCATCCCGATTTTTGCATCGGATCTTGGCGATATTCGCCGATCACCGCGCGAGCGGCCAGTTGTGATCCCAACCCTCGTCCCCTTCCCACATCCCCAATGAACCCCCCCCGATCTTCTCGCTCCTCTCTCTATCTTTGGTCTCCCCTCTCTCTTCCCCACCTTCTGGCAGTCCGATATTCATCCTTCTCTTTCCTTCTCGTTCGAGCCTCTTTCAGTCCCTCTTATCAATCTTGGACATTGGCGACTGTGGCGCGAAACTTTTGAGGAGCTGTCTTTCTGCTTGGCCAAAGTACAGGTGACGTGGACACAGACCAGCGGGCATCCTGCGTGGATCGAAAATCCAGAGCTGCTAATCATCCAAGCTTGGAGGACTAATGCGGAGGGCGATCTTCTTGGCTTTCTCTTCGGATCGGTACAGCCGAGGCGCCGCCAGCTGATTGCGCAGGAGCTCATCGCACCGATCGTGCAATTGGCGGACGATCTCTCGCCCGATATCTATTTACAGAGTGACGACAGTCCTGTTCCGTACATTTTCGAGCGATCATTGAATCCGTACCTTCAGTGGACTGCGTGCTTGGAGGAACCTAGGGACGAGGATACGCTACCATCGCGGCAGGAGTATCTGAAGCCGTACGAGATCATCCCTCACGCCTTCTATCCGAGGGCAGAGGAAGTGGTGATCGACGACGACGGCGAAGAAGAAGAGGACGACGACGAGGAAACATCGGAGGAGGGAAGCTATAGTGAACATAGTAAGGGCGAGCTGAGCGAAGGAGAAGAGGAGGAAGAAGGAACCGGATCTGAGTGGGAAACCCTACCGGAGGAAGCGACACGTACGGAAACAGAGGCGGAAGATCCGGAAGAGGCGCGAAAACGCGAAGAAATTGCCACCGGGAAGCGCCAGCTGGAGTTCGCCAGCGAAGCTAGCCTGCCCATCAGTAGCGATCCGACCAGGGATCCAGAGCCGCCAGAGCCCGAAGATGGCGACCCTGCAACCGCCACCTCAAGTACCGCGCGACGGAGACAGAGTCGATCCCCCTCCTCCTCCAGCCCCACCCGTCCCCCAGTTCGCCCATGTACCGATGCGGGCGATGGGCCTTCGTTCTCGGACGCTGTCCCGCCGACCCCTTGATTTCCTCATCCTCGAGCAGATCCGTACCCCCGTCACCTTCCCTCCCCATCCCTTCCTTCCCTATCTCTTCCGCGACTTCTACTCTACCCGCCTACTCGCCACCGTCTACCCCCACGCATCCCTTCAGCCTGATGTGCCCAGGTTCTGCTGGCATATTCTCTTGTTCAGCGCTGCATGGGAGCGATGCAACGTGGTAGAAGTGTATTGCGTCGCTACGGGGACGATCACCGCCTGCCGCCACTACGAGATCTTTCGAGCGACGCTTTTTCGCACCCTCTCCTCCTTCTATCGCGACTACCTCGCTTTCCTTCCCCGCAGCGGCGATCATGTCCCCCACTTCCACCGGATCATCCGATATGAGGAGCTCCCGGTGACGATGGAAGGGATGAATCGCTTCCTACCCCCACTTCTTCCCCGTCATCCCCGCGAGATCCCCTCCATGTACCGTCTCTACTGGCCTATTCCAACTAGGCGGTAGGCCCCATTCACATAACCCCCCCCCCCCTCCTCTCCTCATCAACACGAATCAGTAAGCTTCGCGAAGATCACGCTATCCACGATGACGGACAGCAGCAAGCCGGGGTGCAGAGCACATGGAGATCCCGTGGACTGTGATGGTGTCACCTGGACGATCTCTACAGGGCAGGGGGTTGCATATGACAGGGTTGCGGAGATTTTGCTACGGATGTTGTCGCCATCTCACCCGCGGCTCAGTTACCACCCCTTGTGCTTCTTTCTGAAAAGCTCTGCTGATGTGTTTGGTTCCTCATGCATCACTCTGTTCTTCCCCTTTCTCTTTCCTCCTCCGCCATGACATGCAATCAGGAGATCGCATAATTTTGGAACCTCCTGCGCGTCACATATGTGACGAACCACTTCCCGAACCCGTGCCATCTTTCGTACCCCTTCTTTTGCTTGTATCATACCAACCCCAGAAAAACCCCGTTTCGATTTCTTGTTTTCAGATGCCGCATTTTCCTTTTTTTTGAAAACTTTTTCGGCTTCTGGGTTCTGTTTTTCCTTTTTGCAAAGTCAGGAAATACATGGGAGTTTGCGTGCGCCTTAGCGAGCGCACTGGGAATTGGGCTCGGTAGTTGGGAATTCTGGGATAAGCGGTACTTCGACGTGTCCTTTTCAAGTGTGTGAATGTTCTTGGGCGTGTCCAAAAAAACTCTCGGAACTTTGCGTGAATACGAATAGGCGTAGGATTTTCTTTTCCCGCGTCTCTTTTTCGCGCGCGGATATGGTGATTTCAATTTTGAATTAGCATAGAAGCAAGTTGTAACTGTTTCGGTACCTTTTTCTTTCTTTTTGTTGACGGCGCCGCGTATGCAGAGCTTTCTGCTCTCTGTCCCCCGCATCGCTCTCTCCCGCGCCTCCCTTCCCTTCTCCCTCCTTTTTCCCTCTCCCCGTAACTGTTTTCCTTCTCTCTCTCTCTCTCTCTCTCCCGCCTTGTTTTTTGCGCGCCCATTTCCCTTTCTTGATCATCTGAATCTTGGACCCGTTTTGCGCTACTTCTCGCGCCTTTTCTCCTCTCAGCCTTTGAGTCTGGCGCACGATGCCCGGTCGATCCATCGATAACTCCCGCCAGCCAATCAGGTGCACGAATCAATAGGACCTTCTTATTGCGCGGCGAATCTGATTGGTTGAACCTCAAGTTCAGAGGGATCAACATGGCGCTCGCAGAGCACTCTTCTCAAAGTCTTCTCCTCCTGCTTCTCCTTTCAACCCTCAGCTTTCCCTTCGCTTTCTCCCCTTTCTATCTCCTTTGTCGCAACTATAAAACCCGCAAGCACGTCCGCAAATCTCTCTTACGTTCTCGACTCCTGAGCCAGCTTCTGGGAAGCAGTGGCTAGGCATAGTGATTTGATGCGAGTCGAAGAGTCCTGTCAGGCTGACGATAGGCTGGCCGGTTGCGCGCTTGATCGCCACGACGGACTGTGGGATCAGGGCGAACCATGTCGAGTTTACGACAGCGGGGTGACGATCGCACGGTGGGAGTTAGCACGCGACGACCGGGATCGGGTGCGGGTACGAGGATTGATGACCGGAGTTGAGTGGGTGATTGGCCCGGAGCCATATTGGGATTAACGGCGAATGCGCCTTTGTTGTTGCGGATCCTTATTTTTGGTGTGAGTGTACAGCGGCAATGCCGAACTTCTCTCTCTCTCTCCGGACCTTCTCCTCTTCTATTTTGACTTCCCTCCCTCGGCTCTCTCTCTCTCTCTCTCTCTCTCTCTCTCTCTCTCTCTTTTGAATGATGATGCGTCTGAATGATTGTCTCTCTCTCTAATGGGAATGAGTTGGCGTCCTGCTTCTGTGTGAAAGAACTTCTTCCGAAACTCTTCCATTAGTTTCCTAGGTAATCCTTCTATGCAAGGACCCCGTCTTCTTGTCTTGTGAATGGTGGATGTGTGTGTATTGTGCAATACGATCCATCTTTTCCTGTGCATGTCCCATTTTTTCACACCTTCCACAGTGAATGTATGTGTGGAGACGTGTGACTCGTTTTGTGTTGAGTAGACGATTGTTGTCGGGATTTTGCTCGAGAATGCAAGAGTGTTTAGATCTGTAGTTTCGAATGCACTGCGCATGCCATCTGCCTTATGCTGCACGACATCAGCAGCCAAGCCACTGGGCGACCTTGAGAAACAAGGCGCCGAAGACCAACGTTGTGTTGGCTCACCAAAACTGAGTCACGGATCGGTCCCTTAGCCATACGTATGATCTAGCAGATGTGTGTTTTCTCTCTTTTGTGTTGAAAAGGATTGATTGGGGGTTGCGCGAGTGCTTTCTGTTCTTGATGACATCTCTGGATATTTGCGGCTGATTGACATGTGGACTGACAAGCACCCTTCGATCGGGCGCCAGCCTCCCGTATCTCCCATCTCAACACGACCTTTTCCCTACATCGAGGAAAGAACCCGTGTATGTGAGTGGGACGTACGAGAAGTCGTCGCACAGATCGGCGGGCAATATTACTTCCCTCCGGCCAACCGTTGTTCAGGGTTCGTAGATGTTGGGTTTGTCATTATCGATACGCACTTTCCACCCTACTCGATATTGTTGTCATTTAACGAATTAATCGTCATTCCGTGGACGGCAGTGGCACCCCATTGGCCTCAAACCCTGTGCACAGAGTGCCAGCGCTTCGATCACTACGAAGCGAAGGGCTTCCACTACCGAATACGGAGTGAAGACGAGCATAAGGAAAGAGCCACGCGGCTGAGACCATCCACGTCAGACTCAGAACTGACCAACGAACGACGTCGAGATTTGATACGGAAACGGGACAC